CAGCGCCTGCCTGGCAAGTGCAAAGTTGTGAGTTCAATTCCCTGTACCGGAAAAAAACCAACCAAACAAACAAACAAAAAAAATTAGAAATTTAACCATTAGTGAACTCAAAAAAGCAATTTCCAATCTTTATACATATCAATAATTTATTAACACATTTAGTAAACCAAATATGTGATCTTTTATAAGCCTTAAGAAGTTAAGAATATTTGAATTTACACTGAGCAACTGATGACTTAAATGTTGCTATGAACATTTATATAAGCATTATAATTTTATTTATGTTTATTTGTTTACTCATTGTAGCTATTATTTTACATGATTCATGAGAAACACAGCATAGCACAATTAACATTTTAAGCAAATATATTTTATATTTTTAACCAAGAAGAAATACTTCAGTTATTGTACAATGATGACAATCATTTTTAGAATCAATTTCTGTTGTCTTAATTGGCTAACAGCATGGTTGGAAACATGTCCCCAATTGTAAAGATTTTACCAGCATACTTAAATTATGTGAAGAAAAACATTTGGGGTATATTACGAGTATACTCAACTATAAGTTAACGTTAGTAGAACTTATGGAGGATAATGTATACCTGAAAGTTAGCACACAAAAACACACATATTAACCTGAGTCATTTATAATCTTTATGTTATCTTGCGACCTGTATTTGTAAGTCCTCTGTAAACCACAAGCCTACTAGCTCTCATCCTGCAATGTTTTGAGTTTGTCTAGCCCCCAAAATCTGCATAATTGAATTTTCATTGGAAAGCTCTAACTGAACAAATCCTGAAATCTATAAGAGCATAACATGAAAATAAAAATAAGTTGCTGAGCTCAAAAAAATTTTTTTAAGTGAAGCAGCTCCAGGTGTTTTAACCAATTATTAAAACAGGTTAACAGCCAGATGGGTAAGCTAACATAGAGAACATGTAAAACAGCTATAATAAATTAAAGTGCACTCTTAGCTATATTGGAATGCTGAATTATAATAATCTTTTTCTTAGTTTAGGTTTATAAATAGACTAATCAGAATCTTTTTTTAGGGGTTATCATGTAGCTCTCTTTTATGTAAGTTACAGCAGTGTATATTTTTTAGTACTTTAAGCTATTCTGCATATCTTTTCTGTTGGCTAACACTGCAGATTAATAATCAATATGAGTTTTAAGGACGAAAAAGAGAAAAGAGTTCAGGCTCTGTCTTTTTATTGCATAATTTACCTTTGGAGAAAAATCACCTTTTAAAAACCTTTTATCTTAAATTGGTCTCAAGTTTATAAAATATAACCTGGAGGTCACGTTTTGGGGACAGACACTGAGTTTTCCATAATCACATGCAAGTCACTTATACGTCACTAAAATCTGTCTTGTGTAGTTCTGGAAAGAGATTGGAAAAAAAAAAGAAGAGATAAAGACAGGGTCCTTCCCTGAGGTTAAGCAGCCAGGGCTATCTGCCTCATCCCAGGGCTCCCCCATGTGCAGCAGCAGAGCCCCAAAACCAGGCACCCCGAAACCGGCCTCCCACTAGCAGGTGGGGTACCCAACTGGGCTTGTCCCGAGGGCAACCTGTGCGGTGCTGGGGTCCGCTGTGTAGACAGCCTACCGGGTTTTTAAAGCCAGAACTGCGCAGGGCGGCAGCTTTCCCATTTTTCTAGAAGCAGAAGCCCTGTGATTGGTGGTTCTGCCCTCTTTGTCATCACCGACTGGTCCGGGTGTCCCTGCTGGTCACACCAAATTCTATTTTAATCATTAAGAACAGATCAAGAAAGCAGGAAAAGGAGTTGTACTCAAAAGCTGTAATTTACTCAAAAATTCACCCCGAAGATCTTTATATCTGAGGACCTGTAACACACACACCGGGAACTTATAGAAGGTCTGACAAGTCCAGAGATGACAACAATTACAGATCACATATGGAGGAGCCCGGTCACATTAGGCCGCACGCCCCAGCTCCCTGGCTCCGGTAGCCAATATCAAAAAGAAGAGAAAGGATTTGAGACAGGAAGGGAGAAGAAAGGTAAAAAATGAAAAGCCCTTTGGCTGAGCTTGCCAGAGTTGAGGTTCCTGCTGCTCCATGCCTCTGGGTCTTGGAGATAAACGTCACCAGTCTGGGCCTGAGGGTCTCAGAGACTAGAAATAAGGAACTTAATCCACCCTGTTTGTAGACATCAGGAATAGGCAAGAAAAGGGTCTTTTTTAGACAGAGATGGAGGACACACTCAGGAGCGGAGCGCCAGTGCTCAGGGAAATGAGACCTGATGAGCCGGAGCTGGGTATATTCTAGGGGAGTCTCTAAGATGGGTGGTCCAGGACACATATTTTGATTGTCCGTCATACTACAATGCGAGCCATCTACATGTATCTGGATTTGAGATCCGCTGCCCACCAACAATGCTTGCTTTTCTCATGTACTTTGTCTTGGTGACAGAAAGCTGACTTACAATTATCAAGTTCAGGTTACACTCCTCACTCAGCCTTCAAGGTCTTGCCCACCCTTACTCAATTCTGCCAATTGGAGATTTGTTTAAAAGGAGTGAACTTTCCTGGGAAGATTATGAGAGCGGAAGAGGAAAGACAAAGGCAAGCTGCTATTGGTGACCTATGGTTAGGTGAAGGGACTCAGGAAATTTGCCTGGCTACAACAAAAGTCCAGATACAGCACAGCTCAGGGTGGGAATTTGATGGGATGGTGGGTTGATGGAAGGGGACCTGGAGGAATTTTGATGTAAAGAGCAGTTTTTGAAGGGCGTACCACATGGGGTTCCCCGGTGAATAAGGGAGGGCAGGAGAAGCATATAGGCAGATTGCTTGGCAAGAGTGAAGGACCGCAGAAAGCGCTGGGGAGGTGTCAAATCCCAGCAAGCCAAGCTTAATTAGGGGAGCAAAGTTAGAGAGTCCACAGAAACTTGAGACCTCCGGCAAGCAGATGACACAGCAGAGAGTTTCTCCTAGTTATTGTGCCCACATTCATTGCGTATCTGTACATTTCATCAGGAGCCTTGCCTACCACTGACCATGGTAACATGTACCTCCCATTACCGGGAAAAAGAGAATACTGCTCCAGGCTAGGGAAAGAATTGCTTGTTAAATTTGCAATAAATGTATGAGAATGTCCCGTGGCAGTGCCACGGGCAAATGATAATGCAAAGCCACATTCTGAATAAAACCAAAAGCAGGAAGCAGCAAGTGTTTTGGTAGAAATGTATTTTTTTGTACTCATATACTGTTTTTTCACATAAAAATTGAAGTTTAAAGAGCCCCTTCCTCCCTGACTAGTGGACTCATACGCAAACTCATTTTCCCTACGTGAGGCAGAATATAATAAAATGGCAAAGAGATGAGACAGTATTGGCCAAAATTTCTGTACTCACAGAATTAGATTTCTTTAAAAAACACTGTTTTCTTGAGACCATAGTGTAGGCCTCCTGTTTGGTATACCTTACTCTGCCGAGGAGGGTGATCTTACTGATCTTTGGGTTGTGCAGGAATACAGACATTTATTCAATGAGTGAAAATTTATACCTCTACAAATTTGTGCCTTTTAAAAAGTGATACCTTAGCATACCCTTAGTACTTCTGTAATGCCTATGGATACTTATATAGGACTTTTTTTCACTTCGCTGTCCTAGGTCTGAGAAATCCAACAGGGGTTGGTTGGTAACTAAAAGTGAAGATCACATACAAAAAGCAACACAGATGACAGGGCTTTGTTGGAGCAAATACTCATAAGCCACAGAGTCCACGGAAAGAGCCTCTGTCGAGGAAAGTTCCTGGTTATAAGCAACCAAACAGAACTGAGCATATTTGACCTGGGAATTGCTGTCCCACAGTCAGTGTTGCCACTTGACAGTAATACCATGGACCTGAGGTTCTGATGCTCCCCGGGCCAGTTGCCCCTGGACGTTGGAATTTCTGTCCCTACCAGCAACACAGCTTCTTTGAATCCCAAGATCCGAATTCAAAGTTTATAGTAGAATGCATCTAATTGGCTTAGCCAAGGTCCATACTAGCACCCAATCTGCAAGAAAGCTGGGAAAGCATTTGGACATGCTGGCTTATTTAGTGAAATACAGGGACTATCTCCTACCTATGCACTTATGGTACAAAATTCACTACAGAGGAAGCAAGTCAGTATCCCAGGCACTCAGTAAGAGGATAAATGTCTATTGTAGACCTTACTATCCCTGTGCTAGGCATAACCATAGTACATTTTCATTTTAATTTTGCAAAAAGAGTGCAAATTTTTTTTGCCACTGAAACTTTTGATGGATGAGCTTGTTGAAAATGATTATTTTATTGGTGTTTTTAAAAAACAATGAGTAAAAAGAAAACTTGACAAAATATTTGTTTTCTTCTCCCTCTCACCATCTAAACTCCAGCCAATAACCTCAGCTCACCTTGAGTGTCCCATCTTCTCTATAGTATCTCTTGCTACTTAACCATGTTCTCTTCCTATCTACTTCTTACCTTTGGGAAGAAATAATGGCTGTAATAAATTTTTTTGTAGTTCTTGTCATTATTACAATTTTACACTGTCTCTGTCTCAAGTAATGAGACACCACTCTAGACTCTTTATGTCCTTATTTGTAAAGTAGGTTTCTTTATTTGCAAAATGGAAATGTAACTACAAGCCTTACATAAGGTTAAATGAGATACTACTTATAAGCTCCTTGAAGGTAAGGGTTACATCTTTCTCATTTTTAAAATTCTGGACACAAGGGCTGGTTCTCCATAAATGCTCATTGAATTATATTGCTTATTTCTGAACCAAAGCCTAGTCACCATACTTACTCTTGTATCTCAACTCTAAATCTCTTTATGACTGTTAAGTGAAAAGTACTTATTTCTTTGTGGTACTGAGCATTGAAAAGCCCTAAATGCCTTTTAAAAATTAATATTCAAGTCTTTAGTCATAAATAATCTTTAATCATAAATCTTTCCACAGGTCTTCTGGAGTGCATTAAAACAGAAGACAGTGTGAGTTTTACTTATCATGAAACTATTGCCAGAAGGACAGTTCAGGCATTGTGTTATTCACTCAATACGGCTTACATCATGGCTGCTCATATTTCTTAGTTCAAAGTCTGTCTGTTCTCTAAAACCTGCCCAACTTCCGATGTATCAAAGGAAACCTTTTATAGCTGCTTGGAATACACCCACAGATCAATGTTTGATGAAATATAAGTTAAGACTGAATTTGGAAATGTTTCAGGTGACTGGAAGCACACTGACCAAGGCCAGGGGGCAAAATGTCACTATATTTTATCCTAGGAGATTGGGATATTACCCTTGGTATACATCACAGGGGGTCCCCGTTAATGGGGGTCTCCCTCAGAATATAAGCTTGAAAGCCCATCTGAAAAAAGCAGCTCAAGACATTAAGTACTACATACCTGCTGAGGACTTCAGTGGACTCGCTGTTATAGACTGGGAATACTGGCGTCCGCAGTGGGACCGGAACTGGAATGCAAAAGATGTTTACAGACAGAAGTCAAAGGAGTTTATTTCTCATATGCAACAGGATGTAAACGCTTCTGATATTGAATGCTTAGCCAAATCAACCTTTGAAGAAAGTGCAAAAGCATTCATGATGGAAACTATCAAATTGGGAATTAGGAGGCGACCCAAAGGCCTTTGGGGTTATTATTTATACCCTGACTGCCACAACTATAATATGGATGACCCAAACTACACAGGTTCATGCCCAGAAGAGGTGGTTTTGAAGAATAATGGGCTCTCCTGGCTCTGGAATAATAGCACTGCTTTGTATCCTTCTATTGCTATCAAGAAAGCCTTCAGAAACAGTGAAAATGTTTTACTTTTCTCAAAATTCCGGGTGCGTGAAGCTATGAGGATCTCCACCGTGACATCTCATGGATATGCTCTGCCTGTGTTTGTCTACACACGGCTAGGGTACAGAGAAGATCCTTTACTTTTTCTTTCTCAGGTAACAAGCCTCTTGCCCGATGGTGGGCATTTTCTCCATCTCTAAAAGAACTGCTTATTTGTTAATTATGCTCTTTGAAGAATATCTGATTAATGAACTGTCAGAGCATAATTCCTTCTTGACTATTAATCCACTCAGACTCTTCATTTATGCAAATTGAATTTTTATTATCTTATTTATTATAATTGCTTTAAGAATGTAATAACGTAGTAAGGGGTTAAAGTATGATACAAGAAACCACTGTATTTCCTGTCCTCTGACCTTGATTGTATTCTCTTATGATTTGTCCCTTAGCTGTTGTAGAAGGTTCTGGAGTGGTCTGTGCTGAATAGTTAGAAAATTACGGGGACTATTTTAAACAGGAGGCTCATACATGAGGAAATAGAATGAAAGAGATTCCTTTTATTGCCTCTCTGTATCAAAAAGCGTTTTCTTTTTATATTTTCTTTTAAATAAATAAATTAGTTTTGATAAAAGACAGGAGGTATAACAATGTAGTGTAAATATACTTAACATTTACTTCTTGTATACTTAAGATATCATACATAATAAATTTTATGTTATATATTTTCTTCATTTTTTTAATTTTAAAGAGAAAAGAACAAAAACAAATTTACAAATACAGAGACATAAACAAAACAGCACAAGAACAATAAAAATGATACAGAATTTCAAGCAAGGTGGTAGGAAATTGAAAAGGGTTGTTATATTATATTTTTTTATCACATTACAAATTTTAATTTTGCAAAAGATAAGGGATTTGAAAATCTGCAAAAGTAGGTGAGTCTACAGACATTTAGATATTTGGATTATTGTTGCCTCTAATGAAAAGTTGGCAATGCGGCATGGGTTTTTAACTTTACTATTTAAATCACTAGCAAATGTTTTCATAACCTGACATTAAAACTTATGGATAGAAGTTTTATTCTGTTTATTCTTACTTAAATGATGTATGTGGCCCAAGCACATACCTGAGAGTCATAGTTAAAGCAGGTTAACTTTCAGCTGGATTTTCTTTGCCTTTTCCATTGTACATACTTAAACAGGAACTTCTAGGAAAAGTGGTGGATACTGTAACCTTTGGATTTAGACCATTTTGTGTGAATTTTCTACACTGAGAAGACTTGCCTCCTATTTGTGGTATAATAATTCTTTATGATATTACTGGGAGCCAAGAATTTTATATATTTTAACATAGGCATTTCTTTCGTTTCTCTACCATGACCAGATTTCAACTTACCAGCCTGCATTAAAATACAAAGATATTCTGAGTGTTGGGTGTCCAAAGGAGGAGGCTTGGAAGCCCCTGTACGGGCTTTGCTGTGACTTGTAGATATCTGTAGGGCACTCAGGGAGAAATGGGTCAAATGTGTTAAGTGTGGAAAATGTTGTGCCTTTGACACTATGCATGAGATGAGGAAAGAAAATTTTCATTGTGGGCTGATGTTCATACTGCCCAGGAAAATCAGCCCTAAATAAGGGAATGAATAGCAATAGGAGGAAATAAATATTTGGTGGAAATAAATAATTTAATAAAAATTCCACCATACAACTTTAAAAAGTTGTATGTAAGTTTTTACAAAATAATTCTAACTCTGGAATTAAAAGTTAAATAGCATTTTTTGGTGAAATTTCTTTTTTGTGTTTAGCTCAAACAAGTTTAATGATAGTGCATTTACTTTTGCAAGAAATAATAAACTTTAAAGAAGAAAGTGTTCATTCAAAAGATTAGACTACTGATACATTCTTCACATACTGTAAATCTTGGGTAATCTTTCTTTAGTAGCAGTTGCCTCAGAAATGCTTTCCCTTCTCAGGAAAAAATGAAAAATTTTGGGTGCCATCTCATTCTGTATCATTTTCCTTTCTGAAAATCAAATGTTTTAGCCATCACTGTATCTACAATTGTACTCTTTACCATAAAAATCTGCTCACAGAATTACAGAAATCAAATATTTATTTCCACCAAACTCTGAATGACCACAGGTTTCCAACTGTCTGCATTTTAGAATATATACATACACCTGGACCTCAGCACCTTATTTTGAAAATCAAATGAGAAATACAGGTATGAAAATCTGAAGCACTAACGAAGTACATTGGTAAGGCGATCACCTTTTGATTAGTGTCAAAAACTTAAATTTAACTTGAGACTTTGAAGAATGGAACCTCAGGCAGCAGCCATGGTTTGGGGGAATAATTGGGAGGCAGTGATACTTCATTCCACGGGGAAGATTGCCTGCCCTGCCTACATATAAATGCAACCTAGCTGTCACCTGATGCTGTGTTTTACAAAAATAATGGAAGGAGTGTCTTTGGCTATAGATTTCAAGATTTGTAGTACTGTAATTGATTAGTATCCCTTCTGGTTAACACACAAAGGGGGATGATTAGTAAGGCTCCGCCTCCCCACAGTGGGCACCTTACTTCCAGGTAGTCTGTGTCGGGGCCAAGGCGGGAGGATGACTCGGCCGTGTGCAGGGAGGTTATACTGTGAGCGAACTGAGTTCTGCCCTCTTTGCTCTTTGCCTCTACAGACAAGGACTCTGCAGAAGCAGCAGTCTGTGTCCCACACGGGGAGTTTCTCCTCCTCCCCGTCAGACACCGGCAAGTTTTAGTCCTTTCATACCCACTGCCTCACTGGAACCTCACAAAACCTCCTTCCCCCCGGTCGTGTTGGCGCTGACCTATTCAGGCGCTGACCTACGGTGATGGGGTAGAACTCATTCCTCAGAGGAATGAGTTTAAGCGAAACCTCTTCCGGTTTTGAAAATGACCAGAGCACTGTCCAGAATAGGAAAAAAGTTTGGAAATGGACACTATAAAACCTCTGCGTGGTGGAGTAGGAGTGTCAGATAAGCAGATTCGTTCTCATAATCGATACTATGATAAAGTGGATGAGGGAAAATAAAGTTTGAAACTTTTGCTTTTGTTTTCCACAAAATCACCACTTTCTAAAATGTGACTTATGAAAATGCATCCTTAAAGTAAAAGGGGAGTGTGTAGCATCCTAAAGAGTAGGGGACTATAATTTAATAAAGTAAAAAATAAACTATCCGTATTCAACCCTTATGTTCCTACTGCCGTTACCTGTATCCATGTGAACTGGTGAAAGCTAAACAGTTATCTTTTTCCTTTTTTTGGTACCAGGAATCAAACCCAGGACTTTGTGCTTGCCTGGCCAGCACTTGTGCTATATCCCATCCCCTTAAATAATTATCTTTTAAGACAACGAAACCAAAATTCTTCTCACTGAAATCTTGTTTTCATCTATCTTAACCATATCAGAAAAAAGCCTGGTGGCTTTGTTATTTCTGCATGAATCAGAAATGAAGCCCGTCACCTTCCGTACCATGAGATTAAACACAGATTATTTTAGGGACCAAATATAAAGGTCCGGTAAAATCACAGCCCGAAAACCTTTAACATTGTTCACTTGCTTTGGAATTAAAATGACAAAAACCAAAAAAAGTCACTTCAGAGTGCAGTTCCACAGGGGCATCTGACAAAATGCAAGAGGAAACTGGCTAAGAGCATTTACATGGAGAAGGAAAACTTTTGGCTTCTGTTTATGGATTATATTCATATAATTAGTTTGTAGATGTATATCCTTAATCAAGTTCAAATAAACATTTTTTGATAACTATTTACCAGCTAATTGTCTTCAGAATAAAATCCTGAATGTTAAAATGTAGATTTTTCTTTAAACATATTTGTATGCTTTTGCATATGATTAGAATATACTATTAAACATTGATTTTGTACACATTTGTAGTACTCTAAGAAAGTGGGAAATAATATCTATGAAGTATATGAGTTCAATTCCAGCCCTATCCAAGGAACTCAGCCTCTAATCCTAATCCCTGCTGGGTTGTTTTACATTCAAATGAATAATCAACTCTACTCTCTTCAATCTAGCAAGACCTAATTAATACCGTAGGAGAAAGTGCTGCCTTGGGAGCTGCAGGCATTGTTATCTGGGGAGACATGAATTTAACTTCATCAGAGGTAAGTCAGTACTTCGAGAATATAGTCAATGTTTTTTTTTTCTATACAGCTCATTTTAGTCAAAGTTCTCATGACCCAGTGGTAAAACCAGCTTTAGAATAAAAGTCCAAATCAGTGCCTGGTACATAAACAGGGCTCAGTAAATGCTGCTAACTTTTGTAAAGGTGTAACCTGTGTACTCTTGACACTGACATTTGTTGGATATTTACTATATGCTAAAAGGGTAACTAAGAGATTCTTTGGATTTGATCACTTACTGGTCATGTGGGGTACTGACTGTCACGGTCATTGACAGATGAGGAAAAAATACCTGAAATCTAATCAAGTTAATAGCTAGTTAGGCTAGTGATGGCAATGACCACAGGCAGTATGGGCCCTTGAACTGAACCACTGCAGGAAATGTGTTATATCCTATTTTGGGAAGTAGACACAGATGGTAAGTTTTTAATCATCATCTTGAAGTTGTTTTTTCTCTACAGAGAAATCAGCTGAAAATTAATAGCATTTAAAATAAGATTTAAATGTTTCTTCAAATTTCTCCCAGCTGAGATACTATTTACTACAAGAAATCCTCTTACTTTTCCCAAATTGCATTAATCATAATCTCTTATGTATTTCTAGATGCTGTTCATTTACATCTCTATATACCACATTTTGCCTTGAATTATACTTGTATCCTCAACATGTGGTGAAGTTGAATTTTTTTTTGAAAGTCCATAATGATGTGGCAATACTCTTAGAATTCCATAAGCTGAAGTTATTGTCGCAGGGACATTATTCATGAAAATATTTCTATCTAATGAGAAGTAGATAGAAATTAAGAGGCTCAGTCGCTGGTCTTCTAGGTGTAATATTTCTAACCTGGCCCCCAACTGGCTCAGGAGAAGAGCTTCACCATGAAGTACACAACCCAGGAGGCCTCTGTTTAGAAGACACAATAGAAACCACATATACAAGTTACCTAGTCAGCCTTACAAGCCTTCTTGAGTTTGAATTTATACATAAAATCGTAGGACCCGTAATAGTTGACGGTTAAGCATAACAAACAGGCACATCCTGAAGTCTCCCAAATGATACCGTACGATAAGCAGTGGAATGTGATTCACACTGTAACACAACCATGAGCGGTATCAGACTTCCTCAAGTTCTGCTTGAGAACAGCAATTCTGGCATGATTTCTAATTTGTGTTTGTTCTTTTCCTTTCCACAACCATTAATTTGAGAGTTAGAAGAAGGGTGGAAAATGGTATAAGCTGGTGGAAGAGGAGGTCCCCTGCCACTCTGTCACTCTGGGGGCCATTTGAAAGTTCAGTTCTCTGTCCATCTGGGATACAACTTCATCTCCTGTCCTTTGGAGCCCTGCTGTTTCTGATCCGAGACCCTTGTGTTATAAGGCCCACACTCTTCTGTGTTCACCAACTAGAACCAAGCCACCAGATTTCAAGTCCAAAGAGCTTCCTTGTGGGTCCAAAAGTGCTAACCCTGTCAGTACTAGGAAGCACACTCAAATTTGTTTCTTTTTGCATTTCTAGGACAACTGTACCAAGGTGAAGCAGTTTGTGAGCTCTGATTTAGGGAGCTACGTAGTGAATGTGAGCACAGCCGCCGAGGTGTGCAGCCTTCATCTCTGCAGGAATAACGGAAGATGTGTGCGAAAGATGTGGAATGCTTCAGATTACCTCCACTTGAGTAATGAAAGCTACCACATAGAAGTCTCTGAGAATGGGAAATTTGCTGTGAAGGGAAATGTGTCTGATGCAGACCTGGCTAGGATGAAAGAGAGATTTTTCTGTCATTGTTACGAAGGACATGAAGGGGCTGACTGTCAAGAAATAAAGGACGCTGATGGAAGCCCTAAGGTTTCCTCCTGTTCTGGCTTTCCAATGACACTCTGTTTGCTGTCTCTAGCAAGTTACCGCAGCATTCAGGTGGGAGATAATTGAGTTTGAAGGGAATTATGTAGCTTTTAAAGTAGACTGCTAGGGAGGAAATGAAACTTGTAAGAGTTTTTTGCTCTTATGAGAGGTATTATAAGGAGATATGATATTTGTTATTTAACATATAGAAACCCATTACTTTGCCATTCATTTGGTTAGAAATCAAGCCCAGGAATACAAATCAGCTGTATTTAAACTAAAGCTAATATAATTCAATCTTTTAATGAATGTACATACATGAAAGTATACATATAAATTTTGTTATTAATTTCAAACAATTTTTCCACCTAGCAATTTATTCATTGATAAGTTACTACATAGCCATATGATTCAACTGATTCACTTTAAGGCATGACCTGGTCAGTTAGCCCAACAAAAAAGATCTGATACAGAGGTTGTGATCCAACCTCAGGTCTACCCTAAGGTTCTGCTTCCCACCTCTGCTCACTGAAGACAGAATCATTTCTGGTAAGAATTCCCATGAGGGGGCAGGGACTGAGGAAAGGGGATCTGTCCCTTGTTTGTCACAAAAGTGTCTATCCAGTATGGTGCCTTTTCACTTCCCATGGGTCCTTCCTATACAGACCCTGGCCATCTAAATATTTCAAAAGACTGTGAGATGATATTCATACTTTCCTAGGCTGATACTGCTGAAGATTTAAAAGCTGAAGCCATGTTAATAAAACTGCATTTGGTGACTTTTGCAAGAAAAATTACTATTAAAAAGAGACTTAACAAATGGTAGCTCAGGAACCCGGAAGTACTGTTGAAAAAGAGGCCTATAAGCAATAATATTTTTGCCCTCTCTTTTTCATCCTAGCAAAGTATTGAGAGTTACTTTGAATCTGTGTTGAATAATGGCTTTACTACCTGGCTGTATTACTCTGGGAATGTTATTTATATTACCTATTTTGTCATCTGGAATTTGGCAAAACAATTCTTACTGTAGTAAATTATTCTGAGGAATAAATGCAATAACACGTCCCTGTGTATGTTGGCTCTTAGTACATGCTGTTGATCTGCAATAATCTCTGATCACCAAAGAATAGAACAGTCCAAGATTAAACAGTCTTGGGCTATCTTGCCATATTCTATTTATTATCGTTTCTGCATTGTGTTGTGCTCTTGAGAGATATGTTCAATGGGTAGGATTGTCTTCCCCAAAGACAATGTAATTAGAAAATAAACTCACTGTATGCTGCTGGCAAAGAAGGAAAGGGAATAGATTCAACTTCTTCTTTCCTTTTGTCTTTCTGTGAAACATTTGTAACGTAGGTGAACTCTTCACTTTTGGGCCCCTTCTTGTCAGAAGTTAGTGACATTGTCAAGGTTAATTTTTACAAACAGAACCAAAAATCCTTTGTAATACTATGAAAGAAAGGTGTTATAAAAGATTTCCTTTTTCTACAATTAAATTATTTTTTTGTCAAATGATGTGTATAATTGCAGAAAATTTATGAAATAGAAAAAATAAAATCACCATAACATGAACTGGTAATTTTTGTTGTACTTGTAAACATTTTTTCTGAAGGACTTTTTTATATTGTCATAATAACATATGCGCGTTTTTGTGTCTTGAAATTTTCACTCAATGATATAATTTTCACAATAACCATAGACGTCATTTAAAAGCCATTTTAAAGCTACATAATAGTTTATGAACTGGATGTATCATAATTCAAATAAACATTTTCCTTTATTTTTTTAAATGTGAAACTTCTATTGTTTGAGGCAACCTATTCGGGACCCCTCATGTGTCCCAGGATCTAATCCTATTCTCATTTCTGTTCCCCATTCCTTTTCCCCAATAAATTTTCTTACCCTTAAACTCCATTGTTCTTTAGTATTCATTCTTCAACTTTGGGGAACACAAACTCTGGTATCTGACATCTAGCATTTCCCCTGTATCATCGTGGAGGTCCCACTGAGATACTTGAAAGGAGACAGTTGGGGGTTTTGGCCAGGTCCCTGCTTCCCACCAGCATTTGGCACCCTGCACAGAGACCACTTCATTAGGCCTGTGGAGGAAGACCATATCCAAGTGGGGCGGAAGAGGACAGGAGAGAGTGAGAAGACTCTGCTGAATGAATTGGGAGAGGCCCCTGCAGAGTGAGTCTGCCACAGAGGGTCTCAAACCCATTGACGTGTAGAGACTCTACAGTCACAGCTTACTCTGATTCAATTTCTGTAATCAAATAAACAGAAAGGAGGAGCTGTTGGAGACCACAAATTATAAACTGAAGATGGAATCTGTCCAAGGCCCATGCTTGCCCTGCCTTGTGGTCTGGTTTAGAATGTGGAAATTCTGGCTTTCTCCTGGCCTTGACTGAGAACTTGATGGTCCAGGATGCTGTGGTGCTCACAGGGCAGGATTAGATCTGATGAGGACAATACAGGGAAGACTGGTACTCAAGTGTGGAAAAGGATTTTAACTTCTCTCTTTTGTGATGTTAAAGTTGCCCATTGTACTACTACTTCATCACCATTCCAGGAAAAGTACCCACTCCCCCAACTTCTCACTGGAAAAAGTAAAAATGGGCCAGCCTGGCCAAGCCAGCGAAGAGTGCTTTGTCTTTGCCCATTCTGAGGCACTGACCTTCAAGCCCTCCTTTTATGCATTACAAAGCAAAACAAAACAAAACTTTTATTATTTGTTCACTTTATCAAAGAAGACTTTCCAGACCACCACCCCTCAATTTGTTCATTCATTCATTCATTCATTGTCCAATCCGTTCATTGCTCAATTGAATATTACCTCTAATTAGGCACTGTCTAGACTTCATAATACTTCCTTGAACAAAACAAAATCCCCTGCATTTTTAGAACTTACATTCTAGACAGACATTAAACACAGAAATAAATAATTTATATTATATGTTAGGAGATAAGATCTATGGGACAGAAAATACAACAGAGCAGAGTAGGAGTAGGTGAGATTGCTTGTATGTTGACCTCACGGAGGAGGAGAGAGCCAGCCCTGAGGATACTTGGGGGTAGGGTGTTCCAGGCAGATGAGACAGCTGGTACCAATTTGAAAGAGAGCCTGGTGTATTGAAGGAGAAGCAAAGAAGACACTGGGAATGGAATGTTTCCCTTCACCATCAATTTCCTTTGCCTATTCTTTGGCCTATGGCACTTATCACCACATGGTGTAGAATATTTTATATATTTGTTTATTTTTTTATTTCCATCACTAGAACACGAACTATGAAAATCAAGACTTCATTTTGTTCACTGGTAGAACACTAGCTGCTATAACTCCTGACACATAGTAGGTGTTTATAAAATGTTAGATAAATGATTCAGAAACCTAAATCGGTGGAACATATAAATATATATATTTTATTTTTTACTTTGCATATTAACAGTGAGTTTTTGCACAGCCATTCTCAAGAATTACCCTTGTACTCTTATTCTAGCACAGTAACCTAGGAAATCATGTAGTCTAACAGCCTTGTGAAGAGTTGAGCCCTGGAGGGAATAAATTATTTGACAAATTCAACATATAAAACAAACCCATATGTAAAATAACCCAATCTGGGGCCCTAGGTGCCAAATTTTCTTTTCATCATAATTTTGTCTTGCTTTTCTTGTAATGAAATCCAAAAATATTCATTCTGGTTTTACCTGTGAATGTAATGAATTTTTATTTTTCTTAATTTTGGTTGTTGCTTCTGGTTATGTTTAATCCAAATCCAGACTTCCAGTTGTACAATCTTTATGGATTTAGAGAATTTTGGATCACTGCTCTGCAACAGGAAATCTCTTCTAAACTGCTTACTGGCTTGATTTGCTATGATTATCCTAACTTTCCTTTATGAAAACAGTCATATATTCATTCAGTCTCTAATTTTTTTTGGTGTTCTTGTCATAAAAAGGAGATAATAATACTATCATTATCTTTTTATGAAGTTTTAATAATATAAAAAGGTATCATAGCATAAAAACTGGCACCTAAAAAAACCTCTACCGATTGTTAGCTATTGTCAAGTGCTTTGAATATTGACTCTTATAAAATATGTGTGTAGACTGGTACAACTACTGTGGAAATCAATATGAAGATTCCTCAAAAAACTAGAATTAGAGGTTCCATTCAACCCAGCTCTTCTTCTGGGTATCTTTCCAGCAGAATTGAAAACATCATACCACAGCGATATATGTGCCCCCATGTTTATAGCAGTGTAATTTGTCATAGGTATATCTTGGAAAGAACCCAAATGCCCATCAACTGAGGAATGGATAAAAAAGATGAGGTATTCTTATACAATGGAGTATTACTCAGCTATAAAGAAAGATAAACTTGAGGCTTTTATAGGTACATGGATGCAACTAGAGACCATACTCATAAGTGAAATAAATGAGACTCACATGTGTAAAAATCATATTATCTCCCTAGTGTAAGAAACTGAAAGAGTAAACAAAATCCAAAAAGTACAATAGATAATGTGAAAGGAAAAGAAACTGCACTCAAAAGGAAAGAACAACTGGGATGAGGGAAAGGAGAAAAGAAAGTAAGAAGGAAGGGAAAAAATATATGTACACAATATAGCTAAGATAATTGTGCTACTAATTTCTGTTGGTTTATTGAAAGGAACAGTCAATGTTTATTTTTTTCTTTTTTTCTTTTTTGACCAATTTTGCCTGCTTACATCTGGCAATCTGAATAACTACTTTTTTTTTTTTATTTTTCTCTGGTACCAGGAACCGAACTCATGACCTTGCGCTTGCCAGGCAGGCGCTTTTGCGGCTGAGCTAAATCCCCAGGCCCCTGAATAACTACTTTGAAGATAACAATATGCAATATAGTAACCATTGTTGATTTCCTATCATCTTGTTTTGAAATTTCATATTTTTTAATGTTTTCATTTTTATTGTCTTTAAAATAAATGAATAAATATGTGATATGCAATTTTAAAATCTTGAAATAGAATTATTTACACACATGAGTCAGAGTAGTAATAGCACATAAGAGCACACAGAAATCTCCAGGACTTGAAGCTTTTGTTTTGACTCCAAGGCAGAAACATTGTGGTGGAAAGGTGTGGCAGAGCAAAGCTGCTCCATTCATAGCAGCAGGGAGCAGAGCAGGGAAAGAGTGCCAGAGAGGAGGGGGCAAGGAACCAGAATAGATGCCAAGCCCACACCTGCATAGCCTGTTAGGCACACCCAGAAATGTGCTCGGCCATTCCCTGGGCTGATCCAAATTGATTCTCAACTGCCACACAATTTAGCCAAAATATTTAAAATCAGGAGGCTGGAGGTCTAGCTGAGTAGTAGGAAAAAAAGGTAAGAAAACTTTAAATCAGAATCTCTTCTGTTTACTGAAACATTATGTGGAAATAACCTAATGGTCTCTCAACAGGTAAATGGAAAAAGAAAAGATGGTAAATGAATTACCTGTTGTACTGCTTGTATATACCCCCTGTAACAGGGTGTCACGCCTTTTCACTGAGGAGCATTTCATTTCTAATTTGTGTGTATTCTTGCAATTTATAGAGTTGAGAAATGTACCCTATTCCCTTCACTACTAAAGAAGCGAGTGGAGTAGTAGGGAACATGATCGGTCTCTCCCACAACCATGTCCAAAACAGTGAGCTCATTTCCATTCTTTACCTCTACTGAGAGAAACTTCCTAAATCTTGCAGACTGTCTTGTTCACTCTTGGACTCCAAGCCCAAGGTCAGGCTAGGTACATAGGAAGCTTTTTGAAAATGTTTGTTTAATAAAACAGAATAATAATTCAATTCTTCCTGATGAGAGATAAGAACCATAGGGAGAGTTATGATCAGATGTATTATATGCATTGAACCCATCCCCAAAAATGAAATTCTGGGGAGGATGTGGCAAGAAGAGTGATAGGCTTGAGAAAATAATCAAAGAATGTCATGTGGTAGTATGAATTTGCCAGAATGAAACCCATTAATCTGTGTAACCAATATGCACTAATAAGAAAGAAGTGAAAAAAAAAATCAATAAAACTCATAAAAAGATTATTATTTCTTACCACATAAATTAGACATTATAACCTTTTATTGTACACAGTTTATGTAGATGTACTAACGTATTAACCTTTTACTTCACTTATCTTTTTATGTATCAAAATGTCTTTCTAACATTACTTCTCTTCTTAGTGAAGATCATCTTTTAGCATTCCATTAGTGGAAGTCTGCTGGGGGAGAATTCTCCATATTTTTAACGTAATAATTTCTTAATTTTACACTTACTATAGACTGGGGCTGGGTGTAAAAGTATGGTATGGTAGTGATTTTTCTTTTAGTATTTTCTAACTCCTTTATAACAGTTTTATAAGAGTTTATATTTTATAATTCATTTATTACAGTTTTCTGAGAATACTATTTTCTGTCTAATTGTTCTTCTTGGTAAGTCATCTTTTTTTCTTCTATCTCATTTTAACATGTCAAATCTGGTTTTCTTTCTGCAGTAAGTAATCATTTCTTTCTTCTCTACTCCATTTTAGCATGTTGTATTTAGTTTTTGGAGCTCTGTGGACTTGATTTTTGATTCAG